GAGTTGTGGTTCGTTTTATCTAATTTCTCTCTTGAAAACTCTTGGTTTAGAGTTAATATTGAAAGATAAGAATGATTAGGGGTTGATTCATGAAAACCCCTAAACCCCAAAACGAAAATGTGGTTAAATGGGGAAAGGGTGAAATGTTAGATGTAGAATGTGGTTTATGAATGTTGAATGTTGATTAGAAGGTGAATGTGTAGGTTTTAGATATTTGGAAACTCCTAATGAAAGTAGTTTTGGAAACATTGAAAATGTGTGAATCTCTTGTATGGTTAAAGATGAAAATGAGTTGTTTATATGTTGTTGTGAATAAAATCACTGACTTTTGTTGTTGTTTGGTGGGGATGAGGAAAGATCCTAAGGTTGGAGGCGGTATCGGAGGAACTTGCAAAGTTACCAAGGTCCAAACCCAACGCACACCAAGGTAAGGGATAAGAATTGTGAATGTTTGAGGTAAATGTATAATGTGTTATGTTGTGTGAAGAAAATTGATGAACCGATGTATGACTTGCCCTATGTGGTATTGGCCTTATGGCGATGTACGACTTGCCCTATGTGGTATTGGCCTTGTGGCGATGTATGACATGCCTTCGTGGTATTGGCTATTCATAGCAATGTATGATTTGCCTTCGTAGTATTGGCTATTCGTAGCAATGTATGACTTGCCTTCGTGCTATTGGCTATTCGTAGCACTGTATGACTTGCCTTCGTGGTATTGGCTATTCGTAGCAATGTATGACTTGCCTTCGTGGTACTGGCTATTCGTAGCAATGTATGACTTGGCTTCGTCGTATTGGCTATTTATAGCAAATGTCTGACTTGCCCTACGTGGTAAGATTAATGAACCAAGATAAAAGTATATGAGGTAGATGATTAAGAAAGAAAATGACTGAATGATGTATGATTATGATTTATATGTTATGATAGAATTGTTTATCTAACCTTATTAAATATGGATTATCATATGATTATGTTAGAATTTATGACTTACTCCTTTGTGTTTTCTATGTATTTGTTCATGATAATCCCATTGCAGGTAAACGGATGAATTAGAGACGCTTGATTTGGAGCTTTAGGAGCCTTTCAAATCAAGACTTTATATTATCATCTTTTGTACCCTAAATGACTAAATGTTAATTGATGACCCTAATTATGGGTATTGTAGTAACCCTATGACTTAACTGAAGTTGATGCTACTTTAAGTTATGAATGCGTATTATGATTTTCTACATATTGGAAGTAGTGTATGCATATGGTAGGAAGTGTATGATCAAGGGAATTCCAAATGAAAGGAATATATGAATCAAAGTTCATAGTATTTTGACCATGATATAATTTAGGAACCTTGCAGAAATGAATTAAAATAAATGAAAAAATTTCAAGGTAGAATTTGGGTCCTTACATTTGAGAGGTTTCAGAATGTTTAAGAGTATTGGAGGTTTGAGATACAGGTAACAAAATGTTTGAGTACCAACTTTTGATATTTTAAAAGTAACAAATCAACAACGCCTGTTTCAGGTGGCGCTGTTGAACATACATATGTTCCATATACAACAGCGCACCTTTAACAATACTCTATTGAAATGTCATCATCAACAGTGCAACTTTAACACTATGCAGTTGAAATGTCCTCTTCAACAGTGCACCTTTAACATACGTTGTTTAAATGTCCTCATTAACAGCGAACCTTCAAAGTTGTGTTGTTGAATAGGTATCAGTTAACAACGAATTGTTAAACAAACGTTGTTGAATAGGTAACATGAACTGTTACACCTACAAATTGTCATCATGACTACTCTTAGACTTACGACACATATCCAATCACTTAAATTATAATACTTAACAATCATTTTCATTATAAAATTTGAAAAGCAAAATTACTTAAACAAATATCTTATATATAAAATTACTTAAACATAATAACTCTTAGATATAAAAATTACTAAATTTGACTAAACATAATAACTCAGATCAATAATTACATTTCATTTGTTTATATTAAGAGTAACATTTTCAAATTGCGTTGTTCATCATTCATGTCTTTCCATCTTCAACAACACATTATTTTTATGTGCGATTGCATATACATGTTTTTCCATCTTCAACAGCGCATCTTTTTTATGCGTTGTTGAACTTATGATTTAAAACATGCCCAATTACACCTGTCAATTGCATTCATGCCTACTCTTAGACTTAAACATAAGAATAAGTATACATTGAACAAAAGTTTTAAATGTTAACAGTACATACACCAAAAACACAATAAACAAAAGAGGTAAGTGTTAATTGAAATTGTACGTTATATATATTGAAAATTAAAAGAACATTACATTTTATGTATGTTACATGGAACAACATTAATATACATTGAAATCCTTATGTTATAATTTATATACATTAAAATCCTTAAAATCCATACATGCAATGTTTTACAATTTACAATCTATACATATAAATCCTTAAAATCTATACAACTGTTACAATCTATACATTTAAATTCTCAAAAAACTTTTTAACATCTAACTTGATTGGAGAACTGGAAAATGCTGATTGTTGATACGAATTAATACCTACAAATATATATACAATAGAATTTTCCAAATAGAAAATCAAATAAAATTTGCCAAATATAATGTTCATTGGAAATTAACATCCAAAATAGAAATTAATGTTCTTTGCAAAATAGAAATCATCCAAACACAAAATGCATTGAACAACAACAACAAAAATACATCAACAACACCATAACACAAAATGCATTGAACAAAATAGGCACAAATTGAACCAAAACAGCTATATATATTTAACAGAACCATTATACATTGTATATTACAAATTGAACTTGTTCCAACCATTACACAGTTTTAAAAGAAAGTGCAAATTTTTACCAATCATCCATAATCTGGTTGATTTGGTCATATGTATATGAGTATACATTAAAATGGACTTCATATGGGCATTGCGTAATGACCTCCTTCATGAAGTTCATCACATAATAGCCGCAATCTTTGTCATTATTTTGACAAGGGGTCTACAAATAAAATCAAGTAAATATAAGTATAATCATGCATAATTAAATTATTAATACATATAATTGTTTGATGATTTGAGTAGTGCCAATACCCTAACATGAGTCTAGTTGATGGGTGATTCAGATCTAATACGAATATTTTGGGCTTTATATATATTCAATGCCCTAAACAACAGAAAATAATGTTTAAATGAAAGTGATAGTGAAATGTACCAAAATTCAGAAAGTTTTAATGAGTAGTCCACTTACCTAATAAAAATTTCTTTCAAAACGGTGTACTTGTTCAGATTGTCGTGCTTTAATGAATCAAGATAGAAGAATTGTTGACTGATCTAATTATTGACAAACAAAATCCAATGTTGCCTAAGAAAACACATGCATACGTTTAGGAAATGTTAAGCAAAAACATACTTAAAAAAAATTAAAAAATTATGCTTACCCGGTGTTAAAAGGTGCCATGAATAAGTCAACATCCTTTTTATGTTTATTGAGAATGTCTGCAATATATTCTGCCGACTCTTTCTTCGTTCTGTCATTGGTAACCGTAACCAATGTGGTAAAATAAGGAGACAAGAACATCACCTTATTTTGACTTTTGGAAATAAGATTGTCATACAAGTACCTAACATATAACACAAACATTAGTTAATTAAAACACACCAATGATTAAATGCGAAAATGAGAAGTTAATAAAATATATTTTACCTTATATATACATATATAACAGATACACTGATCCAATCATGATCCCATACATCCTTCACTTCACTTCTACCGATGTATTCATTGGCCAAAAACAGGTAGATGGGTAAGGGAATTTATATCATAATCGTAAAATCGGCAGATAACTTCTGTACATACTTCATGAGTTTTGCACAGAAGTTGGTTTACTTGGAGACCACCCCCTTAACGATTTTACATTTGATTTAGACCTAGCTTATTTTCTTTATGCTTGGACTTCACCTCTTTTTCCTTTTTAGATGCATGTTCTACTCTCGGATGGGAAATCAATGCTACGTAGTTCTGGTTTGAAAAAGAATTAAATTGGTTTGGGTAGTTTAAAAATATGTTGAAGTAGTTAAGTCATACAATATGATTTTTTACAAAATAATTCTGATAAGGAATTAATAGTTTAGAGACGGTGTTGGTCGCTAACCTTCTTCTCATTTTCAGATAAGTCAAAGTCGTCTCGAACCATGACCTTGCTATAAAAATTCCATTAAAAGTCATTTGAGTAAAAATACAAATTCATTTAAATAAATAAGATAAATTTTTAATTAACATATTTCGGAATATGAAATTAATAGTTTAGAGATTGTATTGGTCGCTCACCTTCTTCCCATTTTCAGAGAAGTCAGAGTCGACTCGAACCATGACCTTGCTATAAAAATTCCATTAAAATTCGTTTTAAGTATAAATTTATTTAAGTAAATAAGATAATTTTTGGTTAACGTATTTTGAAATATGGAATTAATAGTTTAGAGACGGTATTGGTCGCTCACATTCTTCCCATTTTCAGATAAGTCAGAGTCGACTCGAACCATGACCTTGCTATAAAAATTCCATTAAAATTCGTTTGAGTAAAAATTCATTTAGGTAAATAAGATAATTTTTAGTTAACGTATTTTGGAATATGGAATTAATAGTTTAGAGACGGTATTGGTCGCTCACCTTCTTCCCATTTTCAGAGAAGTTAGAGTCGACTCGAACCATACCTTCCTATAAAAATTCCATTAAAATTCGTTTGGAAATTATTTTCTTTTGTCATGAAATGAACCATCTTTATTAAAATTGGTATGAATGTGATTTATATGGTAAAAGAAACAATGTTAGTAAAATATGAATTATGTTGATAAAGTATATATCCTATTAGAAAAACAATAGAAAGATGAAAAAATGATTAATTAAAAAATGAAATTAACTAAGTGAAGAGGGGTAGTTAGCCATACTATCTGCCAAAACAAGATTAAATCCCTAATTCATTCTTCCAACGGCAATCATGGAGAAAATTAATCAAGGTGGAGCGGTGAGGGGGACTTCTTCTACGGCGAGGCTATGGCAACTCGGTGACGGTGCATCTTCATGGTCGTTGCCACCTCTTCTTTGCGGCAGCGACGATGGTGGCTAAGACTCAGGCATGGGATCTCACCCGAGAGCAAGGTGACTTAGGTTTGAGATGCAAAGGGAGCGTTAGTAGCGATTCCTCACCAATGAAGAGGTGGTGATGCCTTATTGGTGGCGGCACCGTTATAGATCCTCCAGAAACCCCTGGCTTAACAGTACGTAGAGGTAAATCTCCGATTTCCTTTTCTCTTGAAGGTTGGTTCAACCGAGAATGTTTGACTGCGGCTCAATGCAACACCATTAATTTTACTCTCGGTTATGGATTAGATATCGCGCTGAAAGCGATAGGCTCATGACTTGTGTGTCTAAATTGGTGGAAGTGAAGGACCTTGACGTGGAACCATGCCCTTCACCTTTGATGCCTGATTTCTACTATGTTTTGAGGAAACTGGGGCTGCTGAATTCGGGTTGTAATGATTGCTTGTGTAACATCCCAAAATTGCAATTTTTAAATATAGTGGATAAGAGGAAGTCTAGGAGCTATTGGGTGATTCTCGCTTGAGCGAGAGGAGCTCGCCCAAGCGAGGGACTAAGTGTTGTTCCCATGTATTTTCCTGAGATTCTCGCTTGAGTGAGATGGAGCTCGCTTAAGCGAGAGAGGGGTGTGGCCTCGGGACGAATCTCGCCTGGGCGAGAAAATGTCGCCCGAGCGAGAGCATCAGTTCCTGAATGATGCGAAGAGTCGTGGATTCTCGCCCAAGCGAGCCTACCCTCGCCCAAGTGAGGATTGGGTATTATTTTCGAAAAAACAAGAGAAGAGGAACGGTTGGAGGAGTTGTGCACCCTTAGAGTCAAGGAAAAGACCGGAGAAGAGGGAAATCGCTTAACTTAGCCTCTCTTATGGTTGAATGTCATAGTTTTGAATGGGGTTTCTTCTCCATATTTAGGGATGAAATCCCATAAACCCTCTTTTGACATTGTGGTTCGTTTTACTTTGGAAAACCTTGTAAAACTCATAGAGTATGAGTTGTTTTTCGAAATGGGTGTGTGAGGAGTTGTTTTCAAAACCGTAGAGTCATTTCAATATTAGGGAAACCCTTCTATTGAGGATGAAACGAATAGATGATGTTTTCTTATGTTGTATGAGTATTTGTTAGTACTATTAATGTCTTGATATGTAAATTTATGTGTTGTGATTGTTGTTGTTTCGGGTTGAAAGACCCTAAGGTTGGAGGAGACAGCGGAGAACGCAACTGAGCTTTAGTGCAAAACATTAGCAAATACTCAGGTGAGGGAGCAGCATTAAACCTTGTGGTATTAGAATCATGACATTGGAAACTCCAACGACACTCACTAGTTGGAGGATTTCATTTGGTTAACACGATTAAACGGGAAATCTCATGAGTTTCCTATTTAACCGCGTTAGTCCTATTGTTGTGAATGACATGTTTGACTATGAGATGGATTTTGACCTGCTTTCGTGGTATGGATTTTGACCTACCTTCGTGATATGGATTTTGACCTGCCTTCGTGGTATGGATTTTGACCTGCCTTCGTGGTATGGATTTTGACCTGCCTTCGTGGTATGGATTTTGACCTGCCTTCGTGGGTATGGATTTTGACCTGCCTTCGTGGTATGGAGTTTGACCTGCCTTCGTGATATGAATTTTGACCTGCCTTCGTGGTATGGATTTTGACCTGCCTTCGTGGTATGGATTTTGGGTATGCACTTGTAGTGCGAATTTTGATTGTGGTTGGAATGGGTGACAGTTGATTGTACTATGGATGAGTGGTATGGTTTTGATTAATGGTTCATTGATGTGTTTGTGCTGTAACGATGCGTAGTTCCTGTTTCGCAATGTTCTAATGTTATTATTCTATTTAAACTCACTATGTTATATATTGCATGTATTTAATGATTGACTCTCTATGTTGTCTTGTTTACTCAATCCGTGGTAATCGGATTGTAGGTGGAGCTAAGGGATAGGAACCTTCAGAGTCTTGGAGTAAATTAGCTTGCATTGGTTTTGGCGTGTGATTTCCGAGTATCTAGAGGATTGTTTAAGTTGATATTGGACCCTTTTATGGGAATTGTTTATTTATGTTTTGATGTTCTCTTAATAGATTTAAAATGACTAGTGTTGTGAAATTACTGTATTGTTATTCCTTTTATTGTTTCACTCATACTAATAGAGTGGTGATGGTTGAATTGAATTTTAATGAGTATATCTATTAGGAGTATTATATGTTAAAAAAAAAGAGAGAGATTGAATTTCCGTGTTAGTAATTTGAAGCGTTACAGCTTGTTGATGAGAAGATGATTGTTTTGTATATATTTCCTCCTCTTTTTTAGCATATGTCGCATGCTCTTTGGTTGTTGTTTATATGCATGGATATGATTAGAGGCTTATGTATCCGTGTGTGTTGCTTGTGTGATATATGATGTGTGTTTTGTGTTCTCCTTCATTCTCTATGTGTAAGGTTGGTGGAATTGAGGTGAATGTATGAATGGTTGTCAAAGCTGAGAATATATGGATGGTGAATGACAAATGGTGGATATCTCCTCTTGTTGTAGTGATTGTGTGAGTTTTGTGTGATGTCTGAGTTCTTTTTGTGTGTGTGTGTGATACAAAGATAGATAAATAGTGTGTAGAATCTAGTTGTTTGTGTATGGTTGATGTTGTTTTGATGGAAGGATGAGGATAAAGTCGATGTGTTGTGTGTATGGGTCACCCTAGGATTATGATGAATTACCCTCCGGTTGCTATGTTACTTTCTATTCTTTTATAGCTGATTGTAGTTCTCTGAAAACCTTTTTGGTTTGCCACCTTGACTGTTAAACGTACATGTCTCTTTATTTTTTTTTATGTTTCATTACCCTTTAATGTTGCCAATAATGAGGGCTGAAACTGAAGTGGTAAATATATCCTTTGTGGTCTGTTGAGTGCCACCTTGTTTGGGTTCCTGCTGACTTATGGGTGATCCGTAACTGAATGGGTCTTTTGATCTGCAGCCCTTTATTGCTATCATTTGACATTTTATTAATTGGTGCAGTTAACTCTTTTAATTCCTTCTCCTTTACTGCTGATTTATTTGATGTATTAAAGTGTAACTGTCTGCCAGGGATAATCTTTGGTTTCCGTCTCGTCAAGTTCTCATTACCCGTTCCAAAAAACATTATCAAACCTGCTATCTTTCTTCTTCTTGTATTATGGCTGCTTTATTTCCCTTCTAACTAAAACAACTCCATTCTCTTCTCTATTTGCAGTTGGAGCTGTCTTGGCTTTTGCTTCTGGTCTTGCAAACACTAGCTTCATGTTCTTGCTCTATCATCTTTAATTCTAAATGATAATTATGGACTTGGAACTCTTCTGTTTCTTGACAATCCTGCCTATGCAGTGTTGGTTCCTACCAAATGGCTAAGATTGCTGTCACCCCAACAATTGTTCCTGCAGAGTTCGTACCCTTTAGAAAACAATTTCCTTTAGAAAGGTGAAGAATCTTACCATCTCTCATATATATAGTCATGAGATATGTTGAAAATGACTTTAATTTTTATGCACTAATCATGTGATTGCAATGGTGCAGGTTTTAGCTTTGGTTGTGGTATCAGCAGGTGTAGCAGTTGCAACACTATTGCTCTCTGTGTGTGTATGCCAACCATCTCATATTCTTGTGCTTCATATGATTGACCACAAAATGTGTTCAACACACTTGACATACCCATCAATGCATTGAAACCAGTGACACTAACAAATGAAGTAGCCAAAGCAGCAGAAGCAAGAAGCAACTCGTATAAATGGCCAACAAACATGAGAGATATCATTTGTAAGCTGTATTGAAACAAAGACACACAAACCATTGGCCGTACAAGCCATAGCTGTTTCTCTGCTTCATCTCCAATCTCTTTTCTCCATAATATTACCCCTTATTATTCCTTTCTATTTTCACACGAAGTTTTCTCCCAAGTTGTAACACCAATGCTATATATTTCATTTAGTGCAAAGTTGCTATAATGTGCAAACTAATAACAAAAGGTTATAGATCTTTATGTGAAACGTGGCTTTCTATGCATGTTCTTTATGGAAACGTGGCCTTGGGATGATGATCTGGCCTGATGCTTCTTTACACGTTCGCATCACTCTTTACTTTCTCAACACTTTTTCCTATGGTGGGTTAAGAACCAAACTATTCCAAAAGAGATATAATCGGTCACTTGGCAAATATAAAAAATGATATTTATTAAATTTGTTGTTTTGAAATTTTATATTTTTTTGTAAAGAAGCTGGACAAAATTGAGTGTTCACAACAGCATATTAGAAAAGGAGCTCGGTTAAAGAGAACGAATTCAACCCAGCGCTTATTCAATAACGCGCATTCGCGGTTGCGCCGTTGGTGTTATATCCGCTTATCAATATTAACAACGATTTCTTAAAGATGCACTGTTTATTTTCCTCCGCCTCGTATTAACCTCATTATTCTAGAATGTGTTGTTGAAGAACCGCTTTTAAAAACTTTTTATGGCTTAGTGTATTAACCTTTCTAGACTAAACTAATATATCTTGTAGGTCCTAATTTAAGCATACCAAATCAATGGTGTCCACTGTGGGGCTAAACAAAATACAAACACCACAACCAACAGTGGCCGCAACGAGCAAAATCATATTAAAGCCCAACAAGACTAACAAATTCAGAAAGACAGAGCGAATACCTTTATCACATAGGACAATCTAATCCCTGATTTCGCAGACAATCCACCAATGGCCCTCAAATGCTCCAATCTCCGGGTTGCCTTTAACATCTCGAGAAATCATGGCAGGCCTAATTCTCTAGTGAGTAAAAGATCAACTTCTACTGGACCTCGCCCTGGTAAGTCATGCCACTGCGGCGTGAAATTAATTAATGTATCCACAAAATATAAAAAATGATATATAATTACTATAACTATTATTATTACTTTTGTATAGCTTTTTTATTCAATATTTGATTTTGTTTAATGACAACTAATAATTTAAAATTGATTTTTATTTTTAATATAAATAATATAATTTTATAATTAAAATAAAACAGTTTATCATATTTTTACATTAACAAAAGCAAACTACATTCACTTAGAGGAGTACAAGTTGTACAATATATTACAATTCTCATCATCATGAAATACTTAATTAAGAAGTGAAGCCAATATTCTCATATATAACATGACATACCTACAAAATAAAGTAAGATAAAACATCACAATTAATATGTTATAAAATGTCACTTGAAAAAGTAAAGGTGATTATTAAATTCACTAGAATACTCACATCGACATTGTTAATTGTTACCACATGTTAGAATGGCGTGGGGGAGCATAATCTTCATTGTCATCCCGACTACCATCTCGTGTAGCTCCTTGTCCAAAGACATAACCAAAAAATTCATGACTTGATTGTTGATAATAAGGTTCTTGATAATCTGATGTTGATGATGACTGGTAAGGTGGAAATTGTTCACTTGCATACTGATCATGTGTATAATAACCATGTGGATAATATGACGAATGCATTGGATTGTATCCTTGACTGCTTTGGGATGTTTCATCAATGCTAAAGTCACTAAAACTTTGTGCAATACTAGAAGATGATACATCTTCAAGTGTAATATTTTGTTTCTTTTTTCCTTTCCTAGATTGCGACTCAGTTCTACTATTACCATTAAATGAATCACTAGAATGAACCATACTCGATCTATGCGTCGTGACATCTATGAGGTTATGATCACGCCTATGCAAAGGCATCTCCTCATATGGATCATTGTGCATTTGCTCACCTTCATCATCACTTCCTCCAGCCTCAACATTACCACCGTCATTGCCACCATCGTCACTAGGTGGGCTTAAACCACCACTATTTTCATCAGAACCAACTTTATCACTATCAACTTCCATATTCTCAATTTCATCATCGGTATCAATTATAGGAAGCCACTCTGCATTTTGTGCTCTATCTAATGCTGAATTTTCCCTTTCTTCTATCCATTCAGACAATGGATCATCTTCTTGAAATATGTTGTCAAGATTAATAGGATTAAAACTTGCTTCAATTTCTTCTTGACTTCTTCTCATTTCAGTTCTCATCTTCAACTTTATATTGTAAAATGTATAGATAAGTCTATGCAACCTATTATATGTGAGTCTATTCCTTTTCTTTGTATGAATGTAGCTAAATGTGCTCCAGTTTCTCTCACAATTTGTGGCTGAAGTTGTTTGACTAAGAAATTATTGCAATGCTTTTAAGTTCAGGAGAGCATGAACCAAATATCATCCACCATTCATCTATTTATGTCAACGGGAAAACAAACAAGTTATTATACTCGTAAAAAGTGTTTTAAATATACTAGTATAAATAAATATGAGAAATGCTATTTTACCTGGATTCATTCTAGACCAAGCTGCTTGAGCTTGAGGTGTACCAAATGTCTCTAATCTATTTCTAAAAAGAAGCAATTGTATATAACATAAAACAACATGTCATTATATAAATGTATAATCTTAAATTATAATTTAAAATATCAAAATATAAGATTTCATTATGAACTAGTGAACCTGATTCAAAGCTTTAATTTGTTTATCGATGCTTCTTTCAAGTTTCATAATGACATTACTTGTTCCATCAAATGTTTCTTTATAGACATCAGTTCCATGTTCAACTCCATATTAGAATTGCAGGTTAAGAAAATAACCTATCAATTTATTAAAATGTGAATATTAGAATGAAAATATGAAATTATGAATCATGTGATAAAATTTAATATAAAATTTTACTAACATACCTGCAGAGTGAAGATCAGAGTGCATGAATTTCCATCTCTTATCAACTATGTCATTGTATTGAGAATGATAGCAACAATGTTTTTGAATTGATTGTTTAGCTCGGTCAATTGCTTCATAAAGAAAACCCATTGTGGGTTTTGTGTCACCATCCACCAGCCTTAATACTTTGACTATAGGCTCAAACACTTTTAGTATATATGTAGCCCTACTCCAGAATTCATGATCCAACACAATTTTCCTTGCTTCAAGTGCTGGCCCATTCTTTTGTTTGTAAAATTTAGATTTTTTGAATTCTTCAGAGTTGAACATTTGTTTCAAACCTTGCTTTTGATTCACAATCGCTTGAAGCTGCAAGAACTTTGTTGCAAATCGAGTGATGCCAGGACGAATAATTTCTCTACCTCCAGTATATTTTTTCATAAGATTTACTGTCCATATATGGTTATAGATGAAGGTTGTCACCGTCTTTGCTACCTCCAAAGATTTTTGCACACTTTTCTTTTTTCCAATATCCTCCAAGCAAAGATCCAAACAGTGAGCTGAACATGCAGACCAATATAAATGTGGTCTCTTTTCCATTAACTTTTGACCAGCTGCTATAAGTGCTTTTTCATTATCTGTAACAATTTGAATGACATATTCTTCTCCACTTCATCCACGATTTTATTCAATAACTGGAAGTAGTAATCTGTGTTTCTTCTATCAACATCAGATGCATCAACGAAATTTGTGAAAATAGTTCCTTTGCTGAAGTACACAAGAAAATTCATAATGTGCTTGTGGTTTATACTATCAGTCCAACCATCACACATTATCGTTACTCCAGTCTCCTTCCATGTGCATTTCAATGTTTTGATCCATTCACGCATATTGTTATAGTTAGCTTTCAAACACAGTCGAAATTTCATAAGGGGTTGGACATTTAACTCCTTGGCCGACCTCAGCTGCTGCAACAATTAAATTATGAAACCAAGGAGACCTCGTTACATTCATGGGCACTCGTTCATAGATTATAAACTTCCCCATAGCTTCTCCAAGCTTCTTCCTAGCCGCATCCATAAAACGACCGGTTATTTTAGGTTGTTTCGCACTTTTACTTCTCACTAGATCAACATCTGTAGACCTCAAATTAAAATCGATATCTTGTGGTCTTGAAGCGTCACTAACACTTGCACGAGAACTTCCACCTTGCTCATATATATTATGAGACCCCCTTGTTTGTTGCCTAAAATGTTGCCGTTGTTCCCATTCATATTGTGAATTAAGGCTTGCTTGTTTAGCTTGCCTCACTTGCTCATCAATATAGTCATCAATATCTTCTTCATTAGTATCCCCTCTTAAACGTGCTTCAAACTCATCTTTTCTTTTTTTGGAGTCAATTTTTTTTTTCTTTTCCATCTAGGAGGAGTTTCATCATGCTTTCTCTAACTACACTAGTAACTCTAGAACAACCTACCACCTGTCCTCTATAATGTGCTATATGTTGTTTCAATCTAGTGATACCCCCTTTGATCACTTTTCCACAGAGTTTACATTTAATATTATTTCGATGTTCAGGTACTTGTGCTCCAAAATGCCATCCAATATCTTCACTTGGAGCACCCTCTAACCTTTTAGCTGGGAATTCTTCTCTTGGAGGCATTGTAAAAAATTTACACTACCTGAATGCAAAAAAATGTATAAGTTTACAACAATTGTCAATAAACCAATTTTCTTAAACATGTCTAAATATAAAATAATATTAACTTAAATATGTCTAAATATAACTTAAATATAATAATACTAAGTTAAATATGTCTAAATAATACTATTTTTCTTAAATATGTATTAATTTTCTAACTTATCAATAAATTAATTTTCTTGAATATATAATACTAACTTATTAATTTTCTAAATGTATTAAATACTAACTTATCAATAAACTAAGCCCATTTAGCAAGGCCCAATTTTAAACATATTTATATTTGTTTTGGAGGTTTTATTAGTGAACTGGTGGGTGGGAAAAATTCCCACCATTCATTCCCAAAATTAATCCCCCTTAATTCCATTCATTTCATTCCCAAAATTAATCCCCCCTTAATTCCATTCATTTCATTCCCAAATCATTTATTTCCAAGAATCTTCTTTCTCTTTTC